TTCATTTGGAGTTCGGAGCGCAGACGGTGATTATGACCGATTATACTGACCTCGTGATTTTGAAATGTTGGATGATTTGGGTTTATGGCAAATAGCTCTTGTATAAACCACTCTAAAAATTTTGAAATTGGAGTTTAAAAATGGCAAAAATCTCATTTTTAATCTAATTTCTTGCTGTTAGCTCACCTCTGATTGCCAAACAGATCATTGAATGTTGTCTGCTGCAGGTATGATACTGACTGCAACTCATTGGAACCCCAGTAGAGAGGGGGAAAAAAAAAATCAAACTCAAACTATCATTTTCCTAGATTATTTCAACAGATTATGGGTAAAAGTTTATAGGAGTGATGTGAAGAAGAGTAATACAGACTTTGTGCGGGTCAGACAGATAAATACTGCAAGTATCATGTGATAGACAGAAGATATTATTATTATTATTTATTTATTTTTATTAATTAAAACTTTATTATACCAGGGGAAAAAATCCCATTTAGATTACAAACTTCTTTTTCAAGGGAGTCCTAGCCAAGTTACATGCATTTAAATACAAAAGGAACTAAGAACTATAAAAATATGAAATGCATTTAAAAGCAAAACTAAGAAAAACATGCACACATAATAGAATGAAGCACAGATTCCCTCAGAATTAATTTAAAAGCTCTCAAAGACATTACATACACAGATACATGGCCACCTCATTAGACTTAGTTGTATTTGAAGAGGAAGATGAGGTTATTAGATATTTGAGTTGTGTATTCAGAAGTGAGAATAATCAGATGGTCACACTCAAACTGCCATCAACACACAACGACTGTATAACCAAATGGAAAAACTACCTCATTTTATTTCATTTCACATTTCGTCTGGCGTCTAACTCTGTTTTATGTTTGCTTTGAGAGCATTCACCAAAAAAATAAAAAAAATAAAAAATCTTTTTAAGAAAACAAATCCCAGCACCTCCTCAGCCAAATCAATGTTTTCACACCCGATATGTCAACAGCATGTGCTTGTTAAGATGTTCTTTTGTGAATCTAACACAAACCCACAAATTGGAAGGGTGGGTGGGTGGTGGGGTGGGGGGGAGAAAGGAGCTCTGTGGCACTAACAGGACTTGAGTCGGGCTGGAGAACCAGAGCATCATTTTGTGTCTCGTACTGTTCTGCTGCTGTCCTGCAGCCGGTCATTAACAAAGCTCAGGCTGAACGACCCGGCTGTCTCTTTGACAAGTGACAGGCAGTGGGTTTCATTTAAACTTGGTAACAATCCACAACTGCCAAAGGGATGGGGAAGGAAAAAAAAACTCTAACAACTTACCCTGCCCTCCTCCTGTCTGTCAGAGCCCAAATAAACTCTATAATTGCTAACATTTTACAGCTGATCCTCCAAATTTTCTCAAGTGGTGCAAATAGCAGTGCACACACACACACTTAGAGAAGCAAATATATAATAATAATAAAAAAATGCACACATCTTTGGAGTAAACCGACGAGCACGGATGTTTAAAATAATAAGATGCAGCTGCTGATGGTAGCGACTGTCTCTAGGTTTACTTCCCTGTGGCCTCTGTGGCAGCAGAGGAACGGTGATGAAGGCAGACAGCTGACAGGTGCTCCAGGATGGCGCTGCCATCAGGTGCATCTGCTAAACTTAGAGACTGGGAGACGGTGGGGAGAAGAGAGGAAGGAAGGGAGGGGAGGAAGAAAAACAGTAAAGACGGGGAGAGAAGAGGAGTGGCCAAAAAATATAATAATAATCATAAAGGGAAGAGGGGTTTAAAAAGATAGTGAGCAGCAAGGGAGGAAGAATGTCTGCGAGCGCCTTGAAACTTTATGTCAACACTTGGTGTGGAGAGAAATCACAGGATGCCTTTGAACCTGGCTGACGGAATGGGTGCCTGAGCGTCTAGACACTGACACTATGAGGGGCTAACAGGTTTATTGAGCAGGTCAGGAGAGGAGGGGGGGCTGAGAAGGGAAGGCAATAAGAGGAGCTAATGAGCATGTGCAGAAAGTGATGGAGAGGGTTTGGTAAAGCAAATACGAATGGGATGGGGGAATTTAAGAAAGGAGCAAGAAGAAAAAGGCAGCTTGTCAAGAAGTTTTTGAGTGTGTAAAGTGTGTGTGTGGCATAGGCACTTTGCCATATGTTTATATATTACTGCCTGCATCAGCACTTTGCAGCTACATGCCTTCCAACTCTTGTCAAAAAAAGAAAGAAAGAAAGAAAGAAAGAAAGAAAGCAGCAGGCTGGGTGTGAGTGTGCAGCCTCGGTGGATTCGGTGTGTGCTGCTGTGACAGTGGTGACGCTCACGTTGTGCCTGACTTTAATAAAAAGGTGCAGCCGTCAGGAGCAGAGGCAGGGGTTTTGAACCCTCCATCAAAGCAGGGGCCAAGCACAGACGAAGTGTTCGCTTGCATCACAACTGTTTTTTTGGTGGGGGGGAACCTGAGCAAAAGCTGACAGTGAGTGTGTAACCAAAGAGCTGATCTCGCAGCCCCTCCGTCTCATGTGTGTCCATGTTTTCTGACACGCACTCACAAATGCCCAGCAGCGAGAGGAAAGGAAAGCCTAACTGAGTCCAGGTAGCCCCGGCAGAGTGGCTGGGAACGCTGTCACCAATTTGTTCCTAGCCATGGGGGACATGCAGGGGATGGAGAAGCAGTGGCAGCTCCCTGTCCTCATCATGGCTAATGAGGCCTCAGCTTCTCCTTCCTCCTCCTGTGTGTGTGTGAGCAGTTTGTAGAAGTTTGTGTCAGAGTGCTGCCAAAGCTCCTATTTCTCATAAAAAAAAAAACTAGGGGTGATATCCGACACACAGACCACCGTGTACACTTATATCCAAGTCTCCTAGCTGAATAATTTACCTGATCAAGACACGCACACAAAGAGAAGAGCTCAGGTCTTGTTCAAGGCAGCTACTGAGGCTTTGTTCACCCAACAAAAACTCAGACAGGCGCCTGCTGGGATAATTACAGACAAGAATAATGATTTCTAATGAATCTTCCAGTGAGTGTGATGACCCAAAACCTTCAGAAGCAGACAGCTCAGTGTCAGGGTGATGTTGTGTTCAGGTGTTATTTCAATCAGTTTGTGCAGAACTTCCTCACTGATTTTATCCCATCGTCACAAAACAACACATTTTACTGTAATAACTCTGAATTATTGGAGTGACTATATTTGTAAGAGCTATTAACAAGAGGACACCATGTAATTTAGTGAGATGTGGCACCAGTGAGGAACGAGGATGAACAAACCTGTATTTGTGTGTCAGGAGCGCTCCCGTGTGTTCAAATGTGAGAACTGCAACCTGGTTTACTAAAAAAGGGAGCGTTTTTAATCTTGTGATGCATTTCAAAAATATCCAAATTGGTATAAAGAGAGTTAATTTGTGTATGTTGATGGAGTTAGTCATAAAAATTACACTTATACACTTCCACAAAGCTGTTTCTGATGCTGTGTGATTCACTTAAGTTATGTCAACTGAGTCACATTGAGTAAATGTGAAGCAAAAGGTGTGTGTGTGTGTGTCGGGGTCTTTTTCACTCCCCCGTTCCCTATTGGCCTTTTGGGGATGAGGTGCAGACTGTCTGGTGGGGCCTGGGCTGCAGGCGGACTTGGGGCTTGGAGGGGTGCCGGGGACAGGGCTGGCACGCCGGCTTCCATAGGGCTGTTGGGTTCCCAAAGTCTGGCTCCTGGTTGCTGTGGTCGGCCCGCTGGCCGGGGCGGTTGCCGGAGTCCAGCGGGCAAGTAGGGGGCTCTGCGGACGAGTGGGTGTGTTACAAGGAAAGGCGATTCTAAAGCGACACACCTGATTTGACGGACTTTGTTAAAGGGACACACCTGACTGGACAAGCAAAAAAGGGGCGATACCKTACGGCACCACTTTTTCTGGAGACCCCTACTTGGGTCACATTTCTCCAGGTTAACCTTAGTGTTGGGGTCAGGGTCAGGCTGAAAAGAGATCAAGCAGGATCTAAGGATACCGTCATGTAGACCTCGTAGCCCACAGTGTTTATGCTTTAGACACGCCCACTCTTGTGACACGCCCACTTTGATTCCACAGATGACCCCTTCTCCCAGCGGGTGGTCAGTTGGAAGTGTATGCTTGGCCGTTGGCGGTGTGTGTGGGTGGTCTGGGGCGGTGGGCTGGCCGGTCGGCCTGGGCCGAGACTTGGCTGTCTGTCTACTTTTTATCCAAAATCATCAAAATTAAAACAATAAAAGACTTGAACTACTTCAGTTGGTGTGCAGTGAATCTAAAATAAATGAAAGTTTAATGTTTATCAGTACATTACAGAAAAAAATTAACTTTATCACATGCTAATTTTTTGAGAAGGACCTGTATGTGGCTTGCACGGCCCCTCATATGAAAGATGTTGGGTGTGTTGTCTTGTGTTTTCTCGATGTATATTTCACATATGTTATCTCTCTTTCACTCTCATTACATTTTACTTTTTCTTTTTTTTTATTCTTAAAAAAAGTCAATGATGATGAAAAAACTAATATTCAGTTCTAATTTCTACTGAAGTGGCAAAAAAAAAGTAAAGTAAAGGAAAATGTTAAAGTTGCCTTACATTTACTCAGTTAACCAGTTGACAACTTGGTTAAGTAAATCCAACACATCTGTTTTTTGAGTGTATGCTCAGCTGAACTCACTTATCAAGAAATCAAAATGTTACCAGATGCGTAAGCCATGAAGCGAGCACTATATCATTTCAACATTTTAAACTTTAAATTTGAATCAATCCAAATGAGATGTGACCAGTTACAGTATTTACCTTTTTATAGATTTGAGATTACAGAAAATGGGCCAGACACAAACTGTTTTAAGATAATTTTCTGATCGTTTGAGGTTCTTCAAATTAATGAAAAAAAAAAAAACTATGGCAGAGATTTAAACATATGAAATTTTATAAGTTTAGTTGAAAACTTTAAAACACCTGCATTTTTTTTTTTTTTACCATTGGCAGCAGGCAATTTAAAAGAAACGAACCTCAAACTTGCGACAACCATAATTTATTTTGATTTGAATACACAGAGGAACATGAGTATATTTAATCTTTTGTACAAGCTGGTCTTCAGTTTGTAGGTCAAGGCTCTGAAAAAGCTGGTTTTGTTTTTAAGTAAGGCAGGTAGAGAGCAGCCTGAGAAAACTGGAAGCGACATGACAGAGTGAAGCAGAACTGTCAATCAAACCAAAACAATCAGGAAAAATACTCTGGATCGCACTGAATCAAGGGGAAAGTAGTTTACGTCACACAGTAATTTAATGTTTTTAATAATTAATTTTTTTATTTAATTACAAAATTAAGACAAAGATTAAATTAAGTCTTACAAGCCTGGTAAGTTTGTAATCCAGGCTTTGTTTTACTCCAAAAATAAAATGTCCAACAGTTTAACAGGATCAACAAGGTCTGAAAACTTCAAAACCCCAAAATTCTTATCTAAAACACTGAAAGCTAAGTTTTAATAAGAGATCAATACTTGAGTTGTAGCATTTTTAGCATAACTGAAAAAGGAAAACAGCAGGAGGAGGATGTGGGAGAGGTAAAGGAAAGAAAGAGAAAACGTATAAAACAAAGACTTTGACTCACAGAAAACCAGAACATGAATCAGCTTTTTCCCCTTTAATCCCATGGGAGACCCTCACTGCATCGACCCATTAAGGCCCAAACATAACATCTGGGTGGCACAAAAAGGTCAAGAAAAGTGGGGGGGACTGCCAGGTGCAAAAGCTCCAAAATAAAACTTTAAAACTTAGTTTTTCAATTTCTACTTAAATTAAAAATGCATAAATATTAAGACATGATCCYAAAATGCATCTTCAACTTTAATACAATAAGAGTTTGATTCTTTTACACCAGGAATTAGCAACATGAAGATATTTTCACCTGAATTCACAAAGCGTAAACATGAGATGCATCAAAGAGGAGGCGAAAGAGCACATTTCTATACAGACATTTTAATTACGGCCATCCCGTGTGTTTCACGAGGCGGCGGCAGAACAGAGACATCAGGGAGCGGGCGTGGGCGGTTTAAAGAGTCCAGTCTTTCTCAAGAAGCGGACGATGATAGGAACCGACACCAGCGTGATGCTGATGCGAACGGGAGCGAAGAGCTTGTGGACGGCGTAGGCCAGGACAAACGCGCTGGTTCCAGCCACCATTGTGGACTGAACCACGGCCTCGCTGAAGCCCAGTTTGCACAGGATGGCCGCCAAGTCGATCCCACTGTGGAGCCGAGAGACACAGAAACCCGGTTAGAGGTTCACAGAGTTAACATGTAGGCTGTTACTGGAATTACAACACTGTCGTAGTAACTTCCAGCAAAAATCTAAACTTATTTATTTTGCAAAGTATTAGGGCCAGACTGATTTTATTTTTAATTGAAAACAAGGTTGAAATATTAGCAAAATAAAGTCATATTATGATAAACCCTACATGAAAAATCAGTCTTACCACTGTTAAAATGAGGAATGTTGAGCATCTCATGAGTTTGAAACGACTGTGCAAATGACAGAACAAAAAGAATGTGGACTTGGAAGAAATTGCTTCTTTTGTGGTAGTGGTAAAAGAAGTTTTGTTTCTTGGGAAACAAAGGATCATTTAGATCTAGAGGGAGAAGGATTCTGGTGAGCACGGCGAGTCCGACAGCATGAGACCCAACACACTGTGGTATATGGATTCAAATGTTAACCTAAAACTGTATCATGTTGCAGTTAATGGCTGCTTTGACTGATATATTCATCACATCATGTAGATGGAAACCTATTACAGTAACGGTGACCAAAGAGTAATTTTGAACTACTTCATAAACAAAGTGACACGTTTCGGAGGATGTCCACAGAGGGTGCAAGACAGGTCCTTTTTCTCAAAACATTGACTTTATTCTCATAATTTAAAAAATAATCTCATAGTCTGGCCCTAATACTCCATTTTATTGTTCAAACTTGTAGAAGCACACAAAGCATTTTATTCTGCAAAAGCATTTTTAACAGTCTCCTCATTCGATGTAGTTAAAATGTAGTTCATGTTCGTCTCCACCAGAGGGAGCCGTGCTCATTAGGAAAAAGCAACCTTACTTCATATTTCTTTTTCAACAAATAACATTGACCTTACTTTAACTCGCTCTTGTTTCGGGAATTTTATTTTATTTTTTGTGCTTTCATGAAACGAGCTTTTGTTTTGTACGGTCATGGCGTTGACTTCAGAGCTATTTAAAGCAGTAAATATGTAAGGAATGTGGCTTCAAGCTGCTTCTGTCACTGCAGGCTTTCTCATGCATTAGCAGCCGCAGCCAGCTCTGCAAACTTAAATCTTTCTGAACATAAAGATCCATCTGCACCCTGACAACTGTTTCCTCTGCACACGGAGCGTAAGCAGGCCTCATGCCAGGACTCTGCTGGCTCCCGGTGATAATGCTCAGAGATTCATGCCTACAGTCAGTTTTCATTTCAAATGCTTGTCATCTGCTGGAGGAGGAAATCTTCAAGCTGTCAGATAACAGCAACAAAATCTCTCTGGCATGTTTGTGAGTGGTCACATGCACACACACGCACACACGAACAAACAAAGGCCTGACTCGAACTCGTGCCTAAAGCAGGGTGTGCCGTGTTTTGGCTTTTTTGCATTTCATGAAATGTGAGTAACTTTTGGCTTTTTTGCATTTCATGAAATGTGAGTAACTCTAAACTCCGCACATCCTGAACAACAAAAATACTCCCAAGATCAGAAAATTAACTTGGTTGTAACACTTCAAAAGGAGGAAGAGGTAATTTACGACCTGCACTTTGCTCTCGGTCAGAGAAGTCACATTTATTGCACTGTGGGGGTTTAATGTTCCTCACCCTACAAGCAGTTCACTCATGTCTTGTGCATAAATGAGGAAAAGCTGCACGTTCTTACACTGATGGATCATCAGTCTGCCAAATTCCAGACTTCTTAGTTATTTCTTTCTAGGTTTAATGAAGCTGCCTTTGTGCTTTGCTTTCTAGTATTTTAAACTAATCAAACTACATCCTGAGGAAAAAATACCTGAGTTTGTTTTATAAGGCAAGGTTTCCTTTACTCTTAATATAAAACGATGTTTAATTTATTTTGTTTTTTTAAGAAAAAATTCAAACAATCAATTAAAATAATAGAAAATCGAATATTTTGTATTAAAGTGCCTGTGACAGCAATTTTTTATAATAAATATGAATGTATTTTTGGAAATATAACTGATAACATATTGTAAAAAGGATTTCATGCCGCTGAGATGAACAGTTGAGATATTCACATGTAAAGAAACAGGAAGTGATGTCAAAGGGGAAAGTCAGTATGTGAACAGAGCTTTGCTAAAATGGCTAACAACACAGACTGTAGACAAGAATCTGTTTCTTTAGATTATTTGAATCACTGTCATGGAGAGATGAGTCATAGCTCAAATGATAATGTTTCAATAAACAAAAATTAGGATGTTTTCCTTCTCAGTGTTCCCCTTTGATGTCACTTCCTGTTTCACTTTAGCCGCGCTAATTTCAAATGAAAATATGCCATTTATGTGACATAACGGGTCAAATCATGTGTATTATGCCAATTTTCTTAAATATAAACATATTTTCTTTGACTTTTTGTATTTCATGGATAGGTACGTCACAGTCACTTTAAGCCAATGTAGGAATTTATCCCAGCATGAGATCACTCTGCTGACCTATAACCTCAGCTGCAAAGAATTTGTCAAACTAAGTGAACACAATACTTGCAGTTAAGTTCGACACCTGGGAGTTGTTGTGTTTTTTTTACCTGGATATAAGGAGGTAGAACATTCCCAGAGACACCAGAGAGATCCCAATATGAAAGGAAACTCCCACCGCTCCGTACTCTTTGAAGACTTTCTTTAGCTGCTGGGTTTTGTTGAGTTTTCCTTCCTGTGGCTCCGGTTTGTCCTCCGGACTCTTTTCTGTGGTTGAGGTAGTCGAGGCCTCCTGGAGCTCATGAACAAACTGTAAAAATAAAATGGAGTGAAATAAGAGGAGAATAAAAAATAAAAATAGGAGCAAATACATGTTCTTTCAATTATTTAGTTCAGTTGTAGAAATACACATCTCTTTATAAAGTATATACACAGTGCTGTGATTGTGGGTCATCTGATTTATGAGCTCCCACTGTTCATTGAGCAGCTGAGTCAGCTGATTAAACACAGGCTGGCTGCTGCTGCTGTGTGGTTTAGGTAATTCACATTATTGCTCCCACTTTCACGTGCTCGCTAAAGATGTCAGTCTACTGCACACACAAAGAGCCACTCATTAGTCTGCACATACACAGATTACTCCGTTTGTGACCTCTCTGACACTTGACTCTGCACCACACACTCTGCAGCCGGCCTACAGAGTGACAGGGGGAAGGCAGGTCACTGCAGTGTGTGTGTGGAGCAGATTAGTGAACTAACAGCCCACACCAGGACTACAGCAAACTGCAACAAAGCACGAACGATGAGGACAGGACTGTGGTTTCACAGCAAGTAAAATAATCCTCATCGTTGGGCAGATACAAGCCACAGCAGCTGCAGTCGTGTTTAAATCAACAGAGCCTGAGTGTGAAACTTTGAGCTAAACGATATTTTGTTTTGACGTCGTCATCGCAATCACTGCTATTTAGGCACTAAACCACAAGTCACTGCACTAAATGGTCGCGTGTCAGGGCTTTTATTTTGACGGGTTGCTTCGTCTCATAAGAGCTAAAACCTTGAATTTTATTGTGAAACTTCTGGGACAATAATGCCAACGTTTTTCAGAGAAGTGACGTCAGTGAATTCTTAAGCTGTGGAGGAAGATGAGGATTTTGATGAGGAATGAGGAAGATGAGCAAATTTGCAGAGAAATGGAGGAAAAGTGGTCAAAAATAGCTCGACGAAAACAAACTAAATACTGTTCAGGTTTGCACATAATAATAACACATGTACTCAGGTCGCATCACAATAAAAAACGTAGTAAAAGTTCAATGAAACTTGAATACAAACAACATGTAGGTGCAGGTTCATAGTCAGCAGAACTTATTCAATGTCACATTTTTCAAATATTGTGCAACCCTAGTGCAACTAGTTTACATCCTGTTGTGTGTGATTATAGGTTGAATTATAGATTTTTTGGCTTTCTAAACTTTAATAGACAAAAAGTCATTGGGTTTTATTCAACTTCTCTTTTTTTCCAACTTAAATAAAATCCAAATATCTCACAGATATGTAACACTCATTGATCACATATGAAAAAGTTTGACCTGTAGACAGAAAGCTTATGGATGTTGGGTAAAGTCTAAGTGTAGAAATGTTTTAGTGACAATAATTTTGCTCGCTATTTCAAAGAGGATGAGGAGGAGAACGAGGACGTTTTACTCAAGCAGCTCCTGAAACTGTCAACCTGCTGACTGAGAACATTTGTATATACTGTAGTAAATTTTGTACACAGAATACAGCCTACTTATTAAATTACATTTTTCTTGAGATTTCTTTGGACAACCAGATTTTGTCAACAAGTTGTCGGCTGGACAACCTGAAAAAAAAAAGTCCTTATGTCTAACCCTGCATGAGTCTGAGTTAAAACATCAAGAGTTGTCTATGTTTGGAAAAACACTGCTAAAGCCTTTTATCTTAGTATTACCAGTTTTCCTCTTGGTCCAGTTCTACCCTTTTATGGCCTACTACTCTGACATATTTTCACTTTGGTTTGTCAGGGAAAACACCCAACCTGCTGTGTTTTATTAAAAGATCCTCTCTGAGGAAACAGGAAATACTTTGGTCTTGTTTTCAGGCCAAATATTGACTCGGTGCTCACAGAGCTGTGTCAGCTCAGAGTGCACTGGAACAGATAAATAAGATGACTTCTTCATCAGAAAACAGACGGGCTGCAAACGTTCTGTCCAACACAAACACTGTTCTTTAACTGTTTTTTTTAACAGTACAAGTAAAGATGCGAGTACAGTAACCTTCTATGAAATGCTTTGTTTATCTCAGGAAGAGAACAGAAACAAAGCCTCCCGCTGATCTTTTCTCTCAGCTATAATTTGTCTTTTGGGAATTTTGGCCTGAGCTTCCTGAATGAAGCTTTGGCCACATCTCCACCGGGCTGCCATCAATAGACAATGGAAGGAGTCCAGAGAGGGCGAGGGAGCAGGCCTCGGCTTTTCAGAGGACAGACAGACCAGACTGAAAGTGAAGGCCGGGCACCACGGCGGGAGGGTCATGTGAGCGAGCGGCTAGAGGGAGCTGTGCCAGGAAGGCTGTATAGGAGGGTGAACAGTGGGACTGCTGTGTCTGATAACAGCTTTTCAGAGGCACAAAAACACATGCAAAGTCACAAACGCAGACAAAGGCGCACTCATGCACTTGAGCAAACACACGGAGCTGGAGGGAAACATTAAAGAGGTGATTCTCCCCGTCATGACTGACTGACTGAGAGGCTGCAAAGTGAGTCTGATTAAACTGCAGCATAATTCTTATTTGTTGTTTTATTTATGTGGAACTTTCCTGAATTTTACACAATATTTCTGCTTTAGAATCTACTGAATACCAATATCCTGTACTGTCCTTTTAAGTTACAGCATATCTGGTTAGACGTTAATTAACCCCGCCCCCAGGCAAATTTGAAAATATCCAACAAAGTGGGGTGGTGCCAAGAGACCAAGGGCAGGGGGTGAGCGAGGAGGTGTGGTCAGTGACAGTTAGCCTAATTTGACAAGCTAGCATTTCTGTAAAGAGGTCTAATGTGGTCCAGATGAATAAAATGTGCTGAAAACAGCCATTTATTGAAGTTTTATAAAACTCAAACTTGGTTTTAAATATTCTGCTCCAAGTGTAAAATATTCCAGTACAGGTTTAATGTGTCTATTTTTGTTTTTAATGTAGAGCATATTAAAGATGCTCAAGGCAGTGAAATTGTGCCTCAGGGGTATACAATAACAGTTTAGACAGTTCATCTGCAAAAAGGTTGACTCAGGTTTTAGTTACTCCTTAAATATTACATCTGAGTATATATTTGAGGAAACTTTGACACTCCAAGGATCAAGTTTATTGGTCTATGTCACTCAACATCAGTAAAGTTTGTCTAAAAGCCAGACTGTAAAGGGCCAGAACTTAAGTCCTAGGACTCCAAATGAAATATTCATTAAAATAAAAACACATGATTATAATGAATTTAAGTCTGTAAACATTAATATATTTATTTGCATCACTCATTAGGCTGTAGGGTTTTGTTTTGATGTTCTGCTAATAGTGATTTGGTGAAAACTGAATAAAATGCCTTTTCCTAAGAGGAATGCATATTGTTCACCATCTTTCATGTTAGAATTTGAAATTCAAATCATCTTATGGTTGAGAAATGCAGTTACTATTTTATTTAACTAATATACAGTACAACAAGCATAAAAATGTTCTTTTGAGAACTGTTAACAGGTATGATTGGAAAATATTCAGAAAATATTTCTATATTAACTTATTTTTTCCAACTGAGAAAGCTTTAAAATACTTTTCAAATGATGCCAAGATCCTGTACACAGCTTTACAGCATTTTAAAAATTTAACAAGTGGAGATAATGTCTTTATTTCTACATATTTTTGAAATTATAATGAAATTTTTAGCAAATTAGCATTGATGGATGTTCAGAAGTGTTTCAGTCGTTAGAATATTGTATTTTTTTCTATAAATAACTTGTAATAAACCTTTTATTCACCTACACTTGAATTTACCATCTTTATCTTGCTTTTAGCAACTCAATATTTTTATGTAAAGGGAAATATTTCCTGAATGAAACCGATTAGTTTTGTTGGAATAAAAGTAAATATGTAGGAGTTGCGCCCACATTGGAACTCTATGGCAGTGTTTCCCAAAGTTGGGGTCGGGACCCAAAGTGGGGTCCCGAAACATCAAGTTGGGGTCCTGAAAAGATTTTCTGAATTAATTACATTTTGTCTTAGTTGTTACAAAGGTACAAAGGAGTGAGGTTAGTATATTTAAAATGGATAAATGTAGTATAAAAATATTGTTACTATACCCATGTTTAGTTGACCTGATACAAATGTTTATCATCCAAAAATAGTTGGGGCCACAGGTCTCTGCTACTGTTATTTTGTGGGTCAAAAACTGAAAAGTTTTGGAACCACTGCACTTTGGTTCCCAAAGTTGGGCTTGGGACCCAATTATGGGTCATGAAGCACCTTGGATAATCTCCAGAAATCAATTTAAAGGGTAATAAAATAATTGCTGATGTAATATTTTCCCTATAATTATTACAAAAACACAAAATAAGTAAAAATAAGTATTTATATTTGTGTACAAGCTGTTTAGATTGTCAAAAAGCCTGTGTTGTTAGGGTTAATAATGAAGTTTGTGTACTCAGACCAGTAATATTTGGGGTCACAAGTTTTTGCCATGGATATTTTGTGGGTCAGAAGACAAAAAGTTTGGGAACCACTGCTCTATGGAACACCTTTGACCATATTTGGTCATAGGTCGCCTTCTGTGAAGGATGACAATAAAAGTAGTTAAAAAACATAAATATGTTAGATTTCATTGAAAAAGATTATTTGACCCTTCAGGAAAATCGGGCAGCGTTTGTTGGAGCAAAAGTTCAAAAATGACTGAATGGCATGATTCTTTCTTAGACAGGAAGTAAATAATGGAATTCTGTGTAGTTTTCCAATCAACATTATTAATTAATTAAATTAATTAATGTAGATTCATGTTTTTTTATTTTAAAAGGCTGATCTTGGTTCCAAGTACTGAATTTATGCTTAGTATTACATTTTATGATCTTTAATCTCTAAATAAACCTGATGACAGATGCTGTCAGAACTATAGAAAAACACTGTTTTTTACAGCACTTCTTTGTTGACTCACCTGTAAATGCCACGTGCTGAAGACTAAAGTAAACTTGTTCAGCTGTTTGTTGGTTTTTCAGCCAAAATGACTCACCTGCTGTAACTCCATATCGAGCAGCCATGGCGGGTGTGTTTTCAGCCAGGTGTTTTTCCTCTTATTAATTTTACATAACCAGTAAAGAGCTGAACGCGGCTGACAAGCCGGTTTTATCACCTGGTGGCTGTAAACACTTGAGCCATGTTTGTTTGATAGGAAAGTTTGGACTCCTGCCATCATGGCGGCCTCTTGGTTCTGACCCGGTTCTGGAGGTCAAGCAAACACTTGAGTTAACTATTTATTTTTTTTAATTTACGTACCTCTTTGTTGTCGTCAGCCTCGCTCTTCTTCGTGGCTGTATTTGTGGACGCAGCTCTGCTCTGCATGCTGAAGGTGGTACCTGTAAACAAAACACTCCTGCTCCTCGCGCCTCCTCTGCTGTGAGCGCGCGAGGCGTCCAGCAGCAGCCTCGCGGTCACCCGGTTCGGATGCCGCCAGTCTGCGGTTACAAAAGCAGCCGACGCGTCCCGGTCCGGGACTCTCGGGAGCTCCGGGATTCTCGTCTCCAGGTGCGCTCGCGGCTGTTCCGGGCCGCGCAAAGGGGAGAACCGGTGCCGCCGAAACGTCAGGGTCACGTCCCCTCTCGGTTCTTTGACCCGAAAACCCAACGAGCCCGGAATCCTGAAAGCCGCCGCAGACAGCCTCACCGAGCGACACGCAAGCATGGTGAAGACGCCTCCTCCTCCTCCTCCTCCCCGGGCGAGTCTGGTTTCAGAGTCCGGCTGAAGGAACCAAAGCGAAGCTCGGAGCGGGATCTGGAGGAACTAATCGTAGATGTGAGTAAACATACTGCCCTGTGCCCTCCTCACCCCCACCTCCCGGGCCCTCCTCACCCCCACCTCCCGGGCCCTGCGCCGTCTGTCTGACAGATTATCACTCAGCCAATAGGAGCTGACGCACAATCGCAGATAGTGAACTGGAGCGAAAGGGAGGGGGCGATTTAAAGCTGTAACCGTGCTGATTCATCTAATTACGTTACATCATCGAGTTTATGAGGAAAATCAACCCGAGTCAATTTCCTCTGCATAAAAAAGATGATGTGAGAACAGTAGTGTTTTATGGTTTGGAGACAGTAGGTTTGATAAAAGGTTGAAAATGGGCAGCACCAAGGGTGGGCAATCCCATCCTCCAGTTTTATTTTTCCTGTTTTATCTAAAGTGATATTTATAGGGAACTTATGCAGAATATAATTTTTAACATTATAAGGCTGGGTGTTGTTGACATCTTTTAATTAAAATGTAAATTAAAAGTTTCTGCAGCTGTATGGTGGTAAAATCCCTCTGTCAGAAAAGGCCCGCCTCCTTTGGATTTAAAGAGATCCCTGATTAGTTGTAACATTAGACTTTATTTAATAAACATATATTTTAACTGTAAAATAAAGAC